CTCCTGTAGGAAGAAGGCACCTATATGGTCTAGACATCAGACTTGCCAAATTGGATGTTGCTTCGTTTTTCCACATCTCCACTAACACACAGAGAGATGCTGGCTAATTCTCAGTTCCCCAGTGGGCAATACCCTCTTGAAATCTATGTGCTTCCCCATGATTCCTTCTGACTGTAATTACTTTTCCTGCACTCTTCCATCTTAAAAAAGAAAAGTGCTGTTTGTTCTTTATCGTGCTATCCTAGAGTCGCCCTTTCTTTGATATCCTTCTCAGACCTCATAAATAAGCCACTACGTCCAGCAGTGCATGCTTTCACGTGGTATGTATTACACTAAGCTATAAATACTTACTAGAATTTTTTTCCATTTCTCAACTGAGGTCTTAGAAAGCACAGAGCTCCAGAAGGTCATGTCTTTTTAATCTTTGGATCTTAGGAAACTATGAAAGTGTCTGAAAACTTACAGCTCCATTTGAAATGTTTATTTTTTTTTTTTAAGGAAGGGGAGTTTCAGTGGGGCTCATGGTTCGTAGGGGAAGTCATCTATCGTGGTTGGAAGGCACGATGGTGGGAGCGTGAGGCGGCTGCTCACACCATACGCAGTCAGGAAGCAGAGAGAGGTGAATGCTGGAATTCCTGCTTTATGGGTGTGTCTTAAATTATTGGGTGAGGGTTAGTGAGTGAAGACAGCAGGTACTCTGTATAATCCTGGGAACAGAGCTTTAGGCAGGAGATGGTGGAAGGAGCTTATCCTTCACTTATCACTGCTCTTTCCTTCCACACTGGCAACACTTACGTAAGAGCCTAAGTTTGCAAGTGTCCTTTCTACAAGGGAAGACATAAATTGAACAAATGAGGTGTATAGGTGAGCTACACCTTGTGACAAACGATAATACTGTCCCTTCACCTCTGCTACATGACTTTGGACAACTGTTGTTCTACTAAAATTCATGAAAACTAGAGATCTTTGCCAAGTTCCATTGCTCTCCAAGGAAATCTGCAGGCCTATGGAAGTACTCAGTGCATCCTCTATCTAGGGCCTTGCTGTTCTGTTTCTAAGGTGACAAAATGTGGTGGAGTATTACAGTGTCATTTCCATTGATAAGTTAGACGGGAAGCCACAGAGGCCACAATGGTGGTTCTCACCTGTCTGATTCTGGAACACACTTCAAGAGCTGCCCCTGTTGAGGGGCTGGGGACATGGCTCAAACAGTAGGGTGCTTGCCACATGAGGACCTGAGGTCCTTGTGCTGATGTAGAATGGCTGGGCATGTGGTGGCCCCTGTGTCTCCAGCACTGGAGGGGCAGAGATGACGGGGGTCTCTGGATCTCACTGGTCACTGTTCCAGACCCATAGGCCCACTCCAGGTTCAGCGAGGGAGCCTGTCTCAAAGGCTAATGTGGAGAGTGATCGAGGAAGACAGCATGAGAGAGACAGAGACAGACACAGAGAAAGCCCCACACACCACCCACTGAATCAGTTTGAGATGGAAGTTAGTTAGCATACCCATTCCTTCCTGGGTGTAATGACTGAAGAAAGTAAGGTATCAGTTTTTATCTGGCTTGGTGCATCCCAGGAACTCTGGAGATAATGAGAGGCACATCCTCTTCCTTTTTATCTGATGCTGTTCTATGCCTCCTATGATTAAACACCAATGAATTTTCCCTCATAAGATATATACTTTACTCCAAAGTGAAAATTAATAATTATCATGTAGCTTATGTTTCTTTTATGAGTGAATTAATAACAGTAACAACAAAAGTATTGATAAACCAGAAGCTGACACTCATGGAGTTTGCAACTTTTTCAACTTCCACTTTGTGAGACATGATCTTGCTTAGAAATTTATAGTCATGGATTTTGATAAACATAAGTAAACTTGTTTTCTCATTTTTCACATAATAAACCTCTGAAGCGAGTACAATTTGAATTTCATTTTTCTGTGTCAGGTTGTGGGAGTATAATTTGAAAGTCCATTTTATGTAAAGAAAATATAGCTATTGTTTTTCTCACCTCTCTTTTCTACTTTTTTTGCATTTCCTGTTCATTCATTTCTTCAATCAATACTGCCACCTGTGAAGAATCTTAAATGAATGAGTTACTATCCTCAACTACCTTCAGAAATGTACAGTTAGCTTAGAAATGGGACATTTCAGTGAGAGTGAGGGGTCCAGACAGTCAGAGTGATGACCTCAGATGCCACCCTTAACCTCACAGATATGCGCAGTCAGTCCCAGCCCGTATTCCTTCATGTTTATTCTAATGGTTCTTTCCATCCTGCCCCAGCACATAGACAGATACAGAAATGCATGCTGGCTCTGTTCCCTGTCTCTCCCGACTGCTTCTCTTCTGTTTCTGAGCCCTGGAAATAAAAATTGGAAGCTCTCTCCAGATGACTTTGTGGATGTCAGGTGTGATCTACCCACTTCCTGTGCAGTGAAGGAGGTGGGATGTGAGTCAGTAAGGAAAGGTTTTTCTCCAGATCACTATATGTCAACTCTACCTGCTCCTGCACCTCTTTCGCTCTAGAGTAAGCAGTCTGCAAGGAGGAGCTGATTCAGCACCTGTTTCATCCAGGGCCCGGTACACTTCCTGGTGGATAGAGGGTCCTGAACAAAGTTCTGGGCAATAGATACATCACCAAGAGGAAGGCTCTGCAGGACAGAGGTTCAGAATCAAGGCCATCCTAGAGTTGGGGTTGATGTCAGAGGAAGACACAGATAGACTAGACCTAAGACTACAAGTTAGGGAGACATGGACAAAACCATTCTTAGAAAGGGCAGGACTCATCCAAAGAAAAGCCAAAGATCCATGCAGGAATGCCATATGTTCACTATGCTTGAGAATCAAAATGGAAGGTGTATATACATTCATATGTCTGTGTACAGCTACTAAGAGTTGAATTAAAGCCAGCCATGATAGCTTACACCTGTGATCCCAGCTGAGACATTGTGAAATGACAATCAGGCTGGGCAATTTAGCAAGACTGTTTCAAAACAGGGCAAACTACCTGAGGATGTAGCTCAGTGGAAGAACACTAGTCCAGCACAGGTAAGACCCTGAAGTCATTGTTAAAGTTTAACCAGATATAATAAAAATCAAGCTCATCAACTCACAAACTCTCAGTATTTATCATAAAGCCATCCCTGTTACTAAATAGAATTTCTATTAACTTTCTCATTATCGTCTTCCTCGAGACCAATTTTTTATTCTCTGTTTTAGTTGTTTGTATTTTAATAGCATTTTTTAAAAAATGCCCTATGGGAGATGATGGCATGTTTGAAGAAAGAAATGTGAACCCAACCACTTGCAACAAATAATTATGTACAGGAAAAATTTTTAAGTTACACTTAACAAGAATTAACAATAGAAAATCACCTGCTTCTAAACTGAGGTTGTGGCTATACATGGGACACGCTGCAGGAGAGAGCCTGGAACTCTGGGTCCCACACCCTTCATTCACAAAGTCCCTGAGTCCTCGTCTGCTGTGTGGGAGCCAAGACTTGTAGTCTCTCATCTAAATAGGATTCTGAGAATTGTAAGAGGTGCTCAATATGAAGTAAACCACCCACCATTAAATAGGTGGTTGTTTTAGTTACTTTTTTTATTGCTGTGGGAAGACACCAGGACCAAGGAAATGTATAAAAGAAGACATTTATTTGGGCTCACTGTTCTGAGGAGTGAGAATCCAAGCTCATGAGGCAGGAAGCATGGCTGCAGGCAGGCAGGCGGACATGATACCAGAGCAGTCGCTGAGAGCTTACATCTGATCCACAAGTAGGAGGCAGAGAGAGAGAAAGCTAACCAGGAATACTGTGGGCTTTTGAAACCTCAAAACTCATCTCCCCCAACCTCCCACCCCCTCGGCCCCTGTGACACAACACACCTCCTCCAACAAGGCCACACCTCCTACTCCTTCCCCCCAAATTCCACCAACTAGAGACCAAATATCCAAATATATGAGCCTGTGGGGGACATTCTCACTCAAACCACCATGGTTGTGTTCAGTTGTAGTATCTGGGTCATATGCTACTTAGTAATTTTAATATTAGTATAAACACCAGCACTTACTTACCAAACCTGAGTTAACCGGTTGTAATCAGAGATAATATCAACCAGGCTGAGTCAGAGGGGTCACCAGAAGACTGGGGCTGAGACAAGTTTATTGGAAGCAATCAGACTTCTTATCCCCTTATCATGGTGGTTGCCAGGAAGAATACAATTGTAGTTGCCAGGATACAATGACATGTGCAAGCCATACAGGGTCCACAAGGTTAATGTCTAAGACTAATTGTCCAGTCAAGCTTCTATATGCTTCACTGACTTCTAGGGAACCCGGAATGCTGCACAGCCTGAGGGAGAGCTTCGGATTCTCAGGAACTGTGAAAGGTACACAGTGCTATGGAGCCACGGACTCTAACCTGAAAAACCTATGACCCATGCCTCTCAAGGCAGCTAGACCAGGTCAATGCCATGATTACCTGCATGTTAGGAAATGAAAACATTTATATCCCTTTCAACAACTGTATGACATATGGGAATTTTGCACAGTAGTCTACAGGAATGATATATCTTGTTTATAAATGTATAAAAGTATAACAGATATACTTTCGTGTGTGGATTATGTGTTAAGCAGTCTGTATGGAAGCCCTAAGTTGACATCAAGTGTCTTCCTCAGTTGGTCCTCACTTTATTGAAGTTCGGTCTCTTGTTAAACCTGGGGTGCTCCAGTGAGGCTCCCACTGTCTCTGTTTCCCAAGGAATGGAAATAGAGGCAGCAGCCAGACCTGTCCTGTTTCCACTTCGGTTCTGAAGGTCCAAACTCTCCGTCTTCATACCTACAGGCCACGTGCCTTATCTACTGAGCCCTCTCTCCAGCACCCTGGGCTTTTGGATAAACAAGTTCAACGGCACAAGTACGTTTAATGTGCTTACATAGAAATGGCTGCTTGCCTGCTTAGCATCAGAGTAACGCATGTTGTCACAATTTTGTCCCACAGAATGATTGAAGATAGTGGGAAAAGAGGAAATACCATGGCAGAGAGAAGACAGCTGTTTGCAGAGATGAGTAAGTATGGAACTTTTAAGGAAAATCCCCTCGGTGTGCATTGAATATTCATGAAAAAGCCAGAAATAACCATGTAGTCTCCTGAGTGCATCTGGGCTTCTCCATAAAATCCTCAGTGCCTTGCATAAACTATGCACTTGGCCATTTCAGCCTCTCATTAGGTGAGAATTGAATTAGTTGGAGATTTCTTCTAATTTGCTTCTCCACTGGCATTTCCTAGGTTGAAAACAATGTTTCTGGGCCTGTGTACTTGCAGGCCAGCAGACACACTGGATTGCACTGCTCAGTGTTGACTTTAGTGCAGGCCACTAATATCTGAAGTCTACACTCACCTGCCTGCACTATCACATGGCTGCCATAGGATAAAACTGCTGAAACACATCTTTGAATACCTTCCCCGGGAAATGATATAATACATTCAAACACTAAGTGGAAATACTGACCAAACTAAACCAAAGTAATGTAACTTTTGTAAGCTGTCATTTGGACTACCTTTGGGAGGCAGTCTGTCCCAAAAATCATTTTTTTAAAAAAGCAAAGGCTAACAAAAGATAAAAGCAGGCGGCATCCGTAAGGGACCACAAACACTGGTGGTATTTTCTGGTGGCTGGTCTATGAAGGTGCATGACTTCTATGTAACTGGTGCTGGTGGCATCTCCTCCCATGTAGACCAATTTGATCCTTCATAAAAAGAGGAGACACATCCTTCTCAAATTAAATGTTATAAAAAAAAAAACATTTCAGCTCTCTTGTTCTGTGAGTTTTAGTTTTTGAGCGTGCTCTGGAGTGACTTGTAAGCTCCTTCCCCCAGGAAGGTAAAGTGATAGAAAAGAAATTTATACTGAAAATGGGATAGATAATATTGGCAGGAATAGGGGTTAGAAAGTAAAAGAAAATTTCTCTGATAATAAGGAGGGCTAAATAATTTCCCAATCATCTGCTGGCACTTGTGCAGTGTTAAAATTAACAGAGGAAACAGAATTGGAATCGATGTGTGGATCCCCAGACATCTGCTAGCCTTTTGCACTTACAGAGTCTTTTTGTTTTGTTTTGTTGTTTTGCTTTGTTTTGTTTTGTTTTTTTTTTTCAAGACAGGGTTTCTCTGTGTAGCTCTGGCTGTCCTGGATCTCTCTGTAGCCCAGGCTGGCCTTGAACTCACAGAGATCCTCCTGGCTGGGATGAGAGGAGAGGTGTGCACTACAACCGGACAGCTGGCACTCACCGAGTCTGAAGTGTCTGTGAGAGCTGCAGCTGGGACTTCCCAGCATCCCCTGCTGTGTTTAATGCTGCCATCTCTGCTTCTGGAATGACTGGTCCCCTTGGAATTGTGGCTTTTCTGTAGGCACACATCCGGTTATGGTCTGCCAAGATCTTGGTTAGACCAGAGGAATAAATTTTAGTAAACTACTGTACCGCTGTTAATGATATGTTGCATCTTTCAAATTTTCTGTAAGGAATAGCTATATTATCCCTACCAAAAAATAAATTAATTAAATAAGTGATGGAATGTTAGTTAGCTAGACTATGTGTATCATAAAAGTATAGTGTGTACCATAAATATACAGAATTATTTTTAATTAAAAACAGTTTTTAAAAGAAAAAGACAATCACATAATTAAAATACAAGGGGAAAATGTTAAAGAGCAATGTATTTGATGGAGAAAACCTGTTTTAACATCTGAGCAAATTCCATCATGGGCAAATATTTTGCTAGACACAGAACAATTATTTTTTTTTTTATTTTTTTTTTTTTTTTGGTTTTTTCGAGACAGGGTTTCTCTGTGTAGCTTTGCGCCTTTCCTGGAGCTCACTTGGTAGCCCAGGCTGGCCTCGAACTCACAAAGATCTGCCTGCCTCTGCCTCCCGAGTGCTGGGATTAAAGGCGTGCGCCACCACGCCCGGCTCCAGAACAATTATTAATATTGTCTATACAAAAGAAAACCTGTCAAATCTTTTACCTTGCCTTTGAAATACTAAATATTGATCAGCTGCACACTCTAATGTTTGCGGAAGTATGCTTTCTTAATGGTTTTAGCAATACTTATCTAAGTTCAGGTGTCTAGTTTCTTCCCGATCTGGTTCAATTCCTGGCACAAGTAAAAAGCAATGTTACACACGTCCACGAAATGGAAGCCAGCAGACTCGAGGAGTGCCTGACACACATCTCACGGTCACACAGCAGAGCAACCAGCAGCAGACATGCTGCCACCCATCCGTAATCTTAACACCAGGGAGGTAGAGGCAGGAGGATCAGGAACACGAAGTCATCCTTGGCTATATAATGGGTGGGAGGCCAGCCTGGGCTACCTGAGACTCTGTCAAGGGAGTAGGGGACAGGGAGACTTAGGAGAACAGTGACTCTTTTATAAGTTTCCCCTTTCCTAAGAACGCCACAGGACTGCCATGAGCCCTTGTTAGATAGCTTTGTGAGCTCTACTGATAATCAGAATAAGAGGCAAGCCAAATACAGAGGTGTCGTTCTTCCCACCAGGCTGAAGACTCAGGTATCGGCCAAGGCCTGTGAAAGGCAGCTGGCTGCCTTTATTGGTCCATTGGTTCCGCCGGCCTGTTCAGCTCATCACTGAGACACCTCCTCAGTAGAAGGAAACAGTTGCTAGGGTGCAAAGGAAAGAAACTGTTGAGGGGTGGACTGTCACACAGCCTAAGATCTTCTTGACAATGTGTTAAAATAGCCAAGAATAAACATCTTCCAGGAATCTGTGATCTCCAGGGAGCAAAACTGGGACTAGGAATCCATAAGTGTGACTAATTATATTTTATCTAGAAATGATTTGTTTTTTAAAAAGGAAAAAAAAACAGTGAAAGGGAGGCATATTTGTTGTTCTGAATATTATGGATATGAAAGAATATTCTCGCCTCATGATCACACGAGCTAAATGGGTAACTAAAGATTTATTAAAGTATTGCAGTAAGAACAAGAGATTACCTCCTACATCTGAAGGGTTTGTGCTAAGAGGCTGGTCATCGTGATTAGGTCACCTGATTGCTAATGACGACAATTAAGAAGTTGGACTCTTCTTCTAGGGAGACTGAGAGATAGGGCCCCGTCTCTCTCAATGATTAATTCCCTGGGCTGACAGCCAGGTCCTTAGAAAGACACTCTGGTATCCACTTATGAGTGAGTACATACCATTTTTATCTTTCTGAGTCTGGGTTATCTCACTCAGGATGATATTTTCTAGTTCCATCCATTTGCCTGCAAACCTCATGATGTCATTGTTTTTCACTGCTAAGTAGTACTCCATTGTGTAAATGCACCACATTTTCATAATCCATTCTTCGGTTGAGGGGCATCTAGGTTGTTTCCAGGTTCTGGCTATTACAAATAATGCTGCTATGAACATAGTTGAGCAAGTGTCCTTGTGGTGTGGTTCAGCATCTCTTGGATATTTATCTGAGTGATATCATTGGGTCTTGAGGTAGATTGATTACCAATTTTCTGAGAAGTCACCATACTGATTTCCAAAGTAGCTGTACAAGTTTGCACTCCCACCAACACTGAAGGAGTGTTCCCCTTGCTCCATATCCTCTCCAACGTAAGCTGTCATCCGTGTTTTTGATGTTAGCCATTGTGACAGGTATAAGATGGTATCTCAGAGTCGTTTTGTTTGCATTTCCCTGATGACTAAGGATGCTGAGCAATTCCTTAAATGTCTTCAGCCATTTGAGATTCTGAATTAGTGATTGATGGAGAAGGGCTCAGCCTATTGTGGATGGTGTCATCCCTGGACTGGTGGTCCTGGGTTCTATAAGCAATCAGGCTGAGCAAGCCATGGGGAGCAAGCCAGTGAGCAGTACTCCTCTCTGCATCAGCTCCTACCTCCAGGATCCTGTCCTATTTGAGTTCCTTGTCCTGCCTTCCCTCAGTGATGAACAGCAATGTGGAAGTGTAAGCTGGATAAACCCTTCCTCCCCAACTTGGGTTTTGGTCACGGTGTTTTGTTGCAGCAATAGAAACCTGAGACAGATGGATTAAAAGAAGAAACATGGAACTTGAAACTGATAACTGTGAACGCATACGTTTTCTTACATACATCTTTGCTCCTGTTTTCATCACACCTTCCAACCATGAAATGGGCAGGAGAGATTTGAGGAGACAGAGCAAGAGCATCTTTCCTTAGACACATGCACCTTATGGGGTGTGTTATGAAAATTCTCAAATATATACAGATATAGAAGAAACTGTGTCTATCACTGCCTTTAATTATGTATCCCCCACTGTTTGTTAGTGTGAAGCAAGTCTGATAAGTCATTTATGTGAGCTGAATTTTCAAGTTTTAAAGAATTATATACCAGTGATGTAATTTAAAAAGAAACCAACACCATTAGTGGATAATGAAATATAATTTTAAAAAAAAGGCACTACCCTTCTCAGAAAAGAATTCAATGGGAGAATGCTCAATCTGCTCGGTTCCTTTTATCATGTATTTAAATTCCATATTTTAATAAAAAATAAATAAACAATTTCCCTTTTTAATAAGATCACCAGAATCATAGATCAGGAAAATACCACTACATAAATATTAACCTTAATTTCAACCAAGTATTAACAAAGGCTCTTAGGCTGTACATTTGTTGGACAAATGTGAGCAGGGCCACAGTAAAGTAGACTTACAGGCAGTGTCATGATCATTCCTAGGACAACAATTAATGGTTCAGTCAGCCTTGGAGGAAGGCTGACCTCCAGGAGCACAGGGCCTCTATTTGTGGCTCTGCACAGGTCACGGCTTTTAATCAATGACTTGGACAAAGACATAGAGAACACTCATAGGCATTCAACAAAAGACCGCACAAGTAAAATTAAATAAGTTTATAATTTATTAAGTCTTAGAAAGCTAAATTGATTTTTCAGAGGTTAAAAAAATGAACTCTATGCAGCATGCCACAGTGTCTGGTCTCCAGATCCAGCATGGTTCCCATAGCACTGTCTCCATCGTCTGTGGGAAGCAGTGTGCTGTTGGGTCTGCAAAGCTATATTTTGTTGCTTGTTTACCAAAAGCCCTTTAATATTAGGGTTTAATACCATCAGTCAAGAAGAACGTGCATGAATAGGAACCATTTACAGACATCTAAGTCCCTTTCTTTTGTTAGGCCTACAAAATAGTGACAAGGAAGAAGAGAGCCATCAGTGATTCCATATCCCCATGCATCATTGTATCCTTCTTTACCACATCCTGTAGAAATGTACTTTGCAAAAATGCCCCATGACCTCTACATGGGGGAGGGGCACAGAAGTACAATGGTTACCATTCTCAGACTCTGACAAAGATCTTGTTGAAATTAGGAAACATCATTGTGTGATACATCACAATCTTGCTGTACTAACTGGTGTTTAACTCATTGCTCTTTGTTCATTTTGTTTGTTTGTTTGTTTGTTGTTGCTATTTTGATACAGGGTCTTTTGTTGGCCAGTCCAGGCCGGCCTCAGAATTGCTATGTAGCCTAGAATGACTTTGAACTTCTAATGTTCATTCTACATCCAACTCCATAGAGTTGAATCACAATGCCCAGTGTGTGTGGTACCTAGGGATCAAAGCTAAGGCTTTGTTTATGCTAGGCAGGTACCCTACCAACTGAGGTACATCTCCATCTTTGTTTTTGTTTGTTTGTTTTGTTTTGATATAGGCTCTGTAGCCCAGGCTAGCCTTAAACATGTTCCTCCCACTTCATCCTCTTTAGTGATGGGATGACAGATAGATATAATCTTGACCAGCTTTAATTTATTGTTCTTGAAAAGCATATACAAATAATATATACCCCCTAATTTTTTCTTTGAATGTATTATTTACAGATATGGGGATTCTTTACTGCTAAGCCAACTAGACACCAGTAAAATTTCATGCAGTATGAAAGAAGATTCAGCACACAGGAGTTTCTTATACTCTGCCATTGGCATCTTAGAGATCTTGTTTCCAACAGAGCCCTATAAAATTAACCAGACTTTAACCTGGGAAGGATGTTTGACATACCAGTAGAAGATGATGACTTTTTTTTAAAGATATATAGGTTAATTAGAAGAGGAAAATAAAGTAAAGAAACTACCTAAATAAATACAAAGTCTACCCTTAGTGCAAAGCTAGTTGGTCCAAAGTCTGTGATCTCCTACGAGCCCAGGTTCCCTTGTGATGACTTTGATGCCCCTAGATTGTACTATCCTTCCTCCCTCTCTTTAACAGGATTCCCAGAGCTTGGCCCAGTGCTTAGCTGTGGATCTCTGCATAAATGAAGAATTTTTAACAAAGTACCAATAAGCGTATGGGTTATATCTGCTGTTATATTACTTACAAACATTACAAGCTCCTATCTATACAAATGGCATACCATATGTATACTCTTTTTTCTCATACTAGGGGCTCAAGATCTGGATCGTATCCGACTCTCCACCTACAGAACAGCATGCAAGCTGAGATTTGTGCAGAAGAAATGCAATTGTAAGTGTGCCATTTGTTTGTGGTAATTACCTACATGAGTACTATCATTTATGCTTGTTACTGGGTTTATTAAAGCCTGGTTTTCCTACAGGGATTGATAAACATATGTTTACAAAAGAATAAAGAGTATATTGTGGTCATGAATGGTAAAGAAACTGTTGCTAAGCAACTCTAAGGTCTGGTTTAGTCTTAACTACCACAGTCCTAGAATGGGTGAGCCTCTTGAGATCTATATCTATATATGTCTATCTCTCTTTCTCTAGATATATATAAATATATCTATAGATAGATATAAATACACATGTGTATATGTATGTATGGATGGATGTGGATATAGATAGATAAATAGATGATTGATGATTATAAATAGATTGATACAGATAGATGATAGATAGATAGATAGATAGATAGATAGATAGATAGATAGATAGATAGATAGATAGTCAGTTACACAGACAGACAGACAGACAGACAGATAAAGGATAGATAAATCAATCTAGAAAGAAAGAGAGATATTTCTACACTCTACATGGAGTGTTTTCTCCTTTTACTACCTACGGCATTTTTAATGATATCCAGGTACTTTGTAAACAATCACACATAAAATCCTCTCTACATGTCCATTTATAACTATCAGTGTATATAAACATCTAGAAAACATTAGAACTCCTTTCTGAAATTATAAAATCAGCCAAAATAATCAATATGTTGATTACTTTTGTGGATGAGAGTTGCAGAAGATACAGAGCTTTACAATACACAGGCACCTGCTTCTGTTGCTGCCAATTGTAAACGACACACAGCAAGCTGGGCACCGACCACATGAGCAGTTCAATGCTCCCTGTGGGTTAGCATGCCCCTTCATGCTGCCACAACTGTTTTCTCTGGCAAAATAGTACTTCATGGTTCATTTGTGTCAATTTATTCTGTTCATTTTAAAGAATTGACTCTCAGTCAAAAATTAATAACTTCTCATTTTCTAATTAGTAAAGAACAGGTTTTGTTTTGTTTTTTTTCTGTAAGCCCTAATGTTCTACCCAGAGTGTACATATAGTTCTTGAATAGCTAACATGGGAATTAGACTCTTGGTGAATGCAGAGCTAGTCACTTCCCCAGGTCTACTCTGCCAGAGTCTCCACAGGTATTTCCCAGAGCCCTGAGTGAGCCATACAGCCCCACACTTCTGGGTGTACAGTTGATCATGAGCACAAAGACGGCAAGGTGATTCAGTCCCTCAAGGCACTTAGAGCAATTCTCTAGTCGGGGGATAAGTAATAGGCCACGATTTGAGACAGGGTGAAAGGGGAGAAAACACACACATACACACGCAAAAAAAATTTTTTTTAAGCAAACAAATTGTGTGTGTGTGTGTGTGTGTGTGTGTGTGTGTGTGTGTGTGTGTGTGATGAAAAAAGAGCCGTGGCCAATGCTGGTGATACAGCTCAGGTAGTAGAGTTCTTGCTTAGCTTACATGAAGTCCCTTTTACCGCATTAACCAGGTGGCACATGAGCAGAAGAATCAGAAGTTCAAGGTCATTGTTGGCTACATAGTGATTTTGAGGCTATCCTGCACTAAAGGAGACCCTGTTTTAATTAATTAATTGATTGATTGATTGATTAATTAATTGACCTGAATTTAAAAAAAAAAAAAAAAGATGTAACTATATTTGTATTTTTAGGCATGGATGAGCCAGTAAAAGCTTTTCCAGTTCTGGTGTTAAGGGGTAAGGAAAAGGCTTCCACAGAGAAAAAGCTCCCCTTACCCCTGGATGCTATCCAAAATAAAACAGATGAGGAATCTCCCAAGTGAGGAGATTCTCCCACATTCTTATGACTTCTTTCCACTCCGTGGCCTTTCCGATTAGGGAGGAGTGGGGAGAATGGGATGAGAATTGCATCCCCCTTAAAGTTTCTCTAGCTTTACTTAGGCTTCTAGCAGTAAAGGTGGGCCCTTCCAGAAAGACCGCAAAATAGTCAGGAGGAATGAGAAAACAAACAGGAGAGAAGACAGAGAAAGGAAGGAAAGAAGGAAGATTCATAGTGAATGGCAACCCTATAGGCAACATTACAATATGTACATGCTGTGTGATCCCTGGTTGGTGTGCGGCACCCTGTCGGTCATGTTCCATTCCTCCTACTCTGAGAAAGCCTATTCTTCTTGCACATTTCTTTTTTTCCTCTTCTTGTTGTTTTTTTGGTTCCCCCCCCCCCCCCCGAGACGGGGTTTCTCTGTGTAGCTTTGCGCCTTTTCTGGAACTCGCTTTGGAGACCAGGCTGGCCTTGAACTCACAGAGATCCGCCTGCCTCTGCCTCCCAAGTGCTGGGATTAAAGACGTGCGCCACCACCGCCTGGCTACCTGTTGTTTTTAAGTCTCATCTTTATTCTGCATCCAAAAATCATGCCCCAGCCACACGGGCCTACTTGGAAAATAGTATGGAAGCAGAGAGGACAATAGTCTATTTAAGGGGAACCTAGGAACCCCAATCCTGTCTAGTGTCTTGTAGTGTCCATTCTCTTTCCTCTTAACTTAGTAAGCATCTATAAGTTCCTGCTTCATATCCAGCCCTGGGTCAGGAAGCAGAGCCAGTGTGGCTGACCATGAGATGCAGCCTTAAAGTTCTTCAGAGTCTAACTGGGTGATTGGATTGTTGGTGGTGCATAAGTTCACATCAGGAATACGGGCATGGTACTCGGGACTCCTGGAGAGACAGTACCCTGATGTGAGGGAGAGACTTTCTTAGAGAAAACTCTCGACTGGAGATGACGGGCTCAGTAGGGATTGAGCAAACAGAAAAGAAAACCATTGTATGTTCTTTGCAATGTACCTGGTAGGCTTCATGCATTTTAGGATGAAAATTTAAAAATTTTTTAAATATTGATATATTTATAAAAATATAATTTTAAAAAATTAATCTCAAATAACCAGTGAAAGTTAAAGAAAAGCAATCATGCCTGGAATGCTGCACTAAAATTAAGCTTTTTTAAATGCTTTCAACATTGATTAGGAGATCAAATTCACAGCTGCCTGTTTGCTCCATTTTCTTTCCTAACGATAAATGACACAATGTTCAGATGTTCAGAGTTGCTTGTGAAATGTTAACACAATTGATCTTGGCTTATCTTAATCAATGTTGGAGTCTTCGAGAAAAGTAGCTGAAAGGGGTGGTCATTTTGGCAGCATAGCATTCCTCAACAGGGCGTTTACAGCCTTGCAGTAGGGGAGAGTCATTCTAGTCTCCACTAAAAGCTAACATGATAAATTATGGTGGAGTTTGACTCCACAACAAGGAGAATGCACCAGAATGCATTGGCCTCTCCAGAGCACAAAGACTCTGGTCACCTCTGGGAGCCTAGAGGAAGAGCAGAGGTCTACAACTTGCAGCAGGGACCACAAAGGAGATACTGGCCTGCCCTGTAACACAGAGCAACTCCATGCTTGCTTGCAGTCAATAAAGGGACAAAGAAGTGCTTGTCCCAGTAGCAGCTGCCTGACATCTGCTAACAGAGTTCCTGAGGTATCTTGACCTACCTGAGATGCTACAACAAAAACCGCCATAATCTCGGCAGTTTGTAAACAGTAGAAATGTATTTGTTTTCATAGCTACAGTGGTTGGGAAGTCTGAGATGAAGGCCCCCATTTGCTTGGTGTCTGCTGTGGGCCCAATTTCTGATTCATAGATAACACCTTCCCTTCCAGGAGACCTCATATGATTGAGGCGGCAGGTCACACTCTAAAGCAGAGACACAACTTTCAAAAGGGCCTTAGTTCCCTTTATGAGGCTCCAGTTTAAGGACTTAATCACTTTCCTAAAGGTCCCAGCTCCTACCATGGTCACATTGGAGACTAAGTTTCCATGTGGAGTTGGAGGAGGGGAGGTAGGTATAAACAATCAGGTCATGCATAGGACAGCTCCTTACAGCATTTATTTCATAGAAATCAATGGATTGTAGCCAAGAACAGGTTGTTTATTTTTAGGTACAAAACTTCTTTAGAGGTAAAATTTATTCTGCATATTAGGAAAACTAAATTTAAAACCCACATTATAGAAGAAAAGCATGTAAAATTGGCTCTTAGGAAATCATCCCATAGCGGAAAAATTGCCCAAATACAGCAGGAGTGTATGGATTTTTTATTTCCTGAAATCAAAGACCACACATGTTAGTTAATTATCCATCCTACCCACACAGAGCACAGATTCCCATTACAGATGCCAAGTCCATCTCCTGATACAAATCCTGATGGATGCTGAGAATAAAAGCTCCCAATACTGTAAAATGTTACTTAAAAACAGGCTAGTGCCTCTCTTTGTTTAGACCAGGAACAAAGAATAGTTTTTAGAGATAGATATTTATAATAAATTTGGTAACAGGGAACAATAATATGTATCCCCAATTAAATAAATTCTGCCCCCCCAAAAGAATTTAATCCTCATTAGAAGCCAGCATTTGGGAGAAAATTTCTACTCACTCACTTAATGTTTGATTTCATCAATAAAAATGTTGTGACAGTCTTTCTCTCTTACATGTATTTGTGTAACATCCTTAATTCTTCCTAGAATATAAAGTAGCTTGGCATCCCTCAGGCTTAGAGAAACCCTTCCTTTCCCAGGTCTCTTCATCCATCAAAGACATTCACCACTCTCGTTGATAGAAGAATAGCTGTAAGGAATCCATCTCCTTTTTTATGGACAGAACTTCCAGTGTTCCTCCATTGGAATTGTTTTCCACATCACTACTTCTACTAATTGTTCATTCTTGTATTCTGCTGTAACTTCCCTCCCCGTGATATAATAACACACTCCTTAATAGAATAGAAAAGGGATGTCTCTAAAACCTAAGGCACATCAAACTGGCTAGTCTATGTCATGGAAAGAAGGGGACAGAATGTAGAAAACGAGATTTCCTACACACTCTGCTCATTCACAATCTTTTCTTTAGTTTCCAGATCATTTAAATGTCTGCAAAAACTAAACAGCCTGTAAACGATTGATAAGCTCTG